TGCCCTGGCTGTGTGTGCAGGCTGCAGGGCACGTGACAGCAGCTGCCCTTCCCCAGTTGAGAAGCACTGAGGACAGGTGCGGTGGCACAATAGTGGGTCCTGAGCAGAGGGCTGCCGAATTCAAAAGACTTGCAAGGGACGTCTTGAATCTAAAAAGGTTGAGATCCACCGATGTGGGCCATATGCCATTATGGTGCCATGCAAAATAAAATGCTGAACCCCTGGACCCCAACTAGGCCCTGTCAGTAGTCCTGGACTCTTGTGGGACAAGCCTCTGTTCTTGGCTGCAGGAGTTTCCCCCCTTTCCCTCAGGAACGGCAGTCCCGTGCACAGCGGGGTGATTGTTCAGCTGACAATTAGCATTGCTGACTGTTTAGCAAAGGTAATTCCCCCTTCCCTCCCCCCTGCATACATGCTGTGACTTCACCAAATATTGAAGGCCCTTATAGCTCCCTCTGCTTTTCCCTTTAAAACGTGATCTCCAGGTGTGAGTGGTGATGGCAAGTGGCTGCCAGGCACAAGGCATGTCCATGCCGTGGCTTTCCTTGACTGTTTGTCCTCCCAGCCCTTTTACACAAGAGCATTTATGGCACCTCTGCACGTGGAGCCGCTCTCCTGCGCTGCTAAGTATCATCAATCCATCTGTGAGGCACGCAGCAGGGTCTGCCTGCCCATGCTGACAATTTTATTGTTTTAACCTTGCCTTGCACACAAGAAGTGACATTCAGAAATGACCTCCGCGTGCAGACCTGCCATGCTGCCGTGACAGCTCTGGATTGACGGGGAGGGGGAGAAATTAAGGTGTCTCAAGAGTTTCACGCTTGGTTATTTGGTTTGTCTGGGATTCAGACCATGGCGGATGGGTGTTGTAGTCGCTCAGAATAACTGATTACCGCTCGCTGTATAGTTGTTGTTGTTCTTTTAGAGCAAACGAGACCGTGCGAAGGCTTGGATACAGGCCCGTCTGCCCACCTGGTGCAAAGAGAGAGATTCTTGGTCTATCTACATCTTCGCTCCTCACTCTAAGTAAGGCAACTGCACCTCTGAATAGTAACAGTGCAATAACTACGGGTAACACTGAAGGTAACCAGGTACAGTGGGCCACGGTGCCCCGAGACCTCAAGGATCGGAGAATTCACTGCATGCTAGCCTGCCAGCTATGGCCATACAGGGCAGCTGCAAGTGGGTGGGAAGACTTTTTCCGCAGTGCAGCTACATCACAGAGCTACTGTAAACCATGTGAATAACAGAGGCAAAGATGGACCCAAAGCTCACAGCGTAGAGGTGGAACATCCCTGTTCTCAGCTCAGAGAGCAGCCCTCTGCTCTAACCGTTCATCAAGCCAGTTCAGCCCCTAGAACAGCCCAGTATTTAGAGGGTGCATAAGTCATATAAAGCCACTTCTTCCCTCAGCAACATGCTTTGTCTTCTGGAAGGACAGCATGGCACAGCATATCAGCCTGGTTATTAACCATCAGCCCTCAAAGGCTGGTAAGCCATATACAGCTCCACGTCCTCTCTAAGGACAGAGGATTCTTCGGTCTTAAGGGCTTGTGGGCACAAGCTGTAACTCCCAAATCAATAGCCAGATCCCAGGCATTGCTTCATTCAAACATGCTCTTTACTCAAGAGAGAGAAAAGATGCCTATGAGAAGCTTTGCCATCATGGAAGTGCACATTGGGAGGAGCTGTTCGCCTGCTGCCTGGGAAAGTTAAGTTACATCCAAAAGGTCATGGGATCATGAGTCATATTCTTGCATGCTGGTAACAGTCTGTAATAAACTGGCTTGGAGCTGCTCACACCCTTTGACTGGTGTCTAAGAACATGAACCTACATATGAAGACAGATGTGAAGTTCTGTTGGGAACTCCTTAACTGGCCCTTTCTTCTACCTCTTCTGCATGCGAGTCACATCAGCTGTGATTGCACTGGACACAGGTGCAGGAAACGCCTCTCCCTTACACAGGGAAACATGATGCCAAATTCTTTGGTCTTTCCCAAGTTCAGCTGCTTCATGGCCAAATGGAGTCAGTGCCATGATGCAAATAGTCATGCCATGCTCCAGCTATTCTGGGGGGACACCTCCCATTTTAGGGTGAATAAGCTCAGACCAGTGTTATAGCTCATTCATACAGAGATTACCTAGATTTTCAGAAACCAACTATGAGAAATGTAATACCTTATTATAAAACCTGGGTCGGTGTACGGCCATCTGTCATGGTGTATAGCTTCTGTTCTTTCCTTCTGCATGGAGTTGAATAGCATGCCATACTGGAATGGGGTTAGTTTTCTAACTAGGGGCAGGGATAGACCAGAACATTTGGTCCGAAGTCTTTGATTTCAAGGACAAGGCGTGCGCTGAAATCCAAAGTTGACTAGATGATCTCAGCTTTGCAAGTGCCTGCTCAGCCATGAGCCAAGTCAACCAGACCCAACCAACCACCCTTGAACATTGTGTTGTTCCTGGCCTGTAGCCGTCTATTGTAGCTTGAGCCTTTATCTGTTCATACTGAGAATATCTGCTAACACCAACAGCTGCCCAAGGGAGGGAGTTGGGAGGTTGTAACGCCTCTGCTTGTCAAACAGAAAGTTCAGTTCTTATGCCATGCATAAAATGGATGCTTTGACAGGAGTATCTTCATCTCAGGCCAGTCAGCTGTTAACAGCTAGTATGTCTGTGTTGTTTTTTCTGAGCAGATTCCGTCTGATGTGCAATAAAATCATCACTCACAAGATGTTTGATCATGTCGTCTTGGTTATCATTTTCCTGAACTGCATCACCATTGCTATGGAACGGCCAAAAATTGAGCCCCACAGTGCTGTAAGTATTAGACCTGCCCTGCAGATTAATGTTTTCCTCTGCATTATCGCATTTATAGCGGGCCCATCAAAGCTCAAGTCGCATTGCCCTGTGTCTTTCTGTCCTGGCTCTTGGCTTCGGTCTGCATATGGAAACAGGTGGTCACATTGTGAGCCCATGTGTGACCACGCTGACATAATTGCCATGCCTTGTTGACACCAACTGTGGATTTGGTCCCACGTTCCAGGCAGGGGGGAATCCAATCCATAAGTGCCAGCAGGTGCTTTGAACCTCACTGCCACTGTGCTTGGACCACAAGCCTTATCTATGAGACTCAAGAAGGATTTCCACCCCCAAGTGGAAAAGTGTAATAGTGGACAGCCAGTGCTGGGGCTCCATACCTGCTGCTGGGAGTGCCAAGTGATGAGAACAGTCCCTGCACTGGGCTTGGGGGATGTAGTCGCCCTTTGTGCTTATCACTACTCATCGTGAGTAAGACCAGTCAAGCTTTAACGTAGCATTTACGGACAAGTTTGCAGAGAACATCACCAGGGCCATGGCAGTGTCTAGGAGCTTTAAGGTGCCTCCATGTGCTGTCCCTTCCTCACATTCCTTGCACTGTGGCTGTGTCCAAGGATCTGGTCCCACCTGTTTGTGATTTGCTGTTGATGGTTGATCCAAAGGAAATCCATCCTGTCTGCATGTCATTAATTTACCTTTCCAGCACACACTTGAAATGGACTTTGTGGTGCTGTAGATAGACAAGAGTTCTTTTCGGTTTTCAGGCCTTTGCCCTCACCAAAGCCTCTGCACCTCATTCTGAAAAATAAAGAAGCAGCGCTTGTTTGTCAGGGAAGACATCAAGGTTTCCCCTTTTAATATCCCAGTTCTCCAGTCACAATCGGATTGTTTTTAATACATGACATAACCGTGACATCTGTCTCAATTTTCTTCTCCGATAAACAGTCAGACACTTTTACTCTCTCAGCGCAATGTTAGTTCCTTCCATCTGTTCTGCACTAGCGTGCATGTGTGGTGGGAAGAGAAAGGGAGAAGCTGATCATTTGGTACTTTTCTCTCCCCTTTGTCTATCATCTTTGTTGTGACATGAGCAAATTGAATTGATATATGCAGTGTAATTCCATTTCCCTGAACCATTTGTTTTAATAGATTGCATAATGATTTTTCAAACAAGATCTTCCTAACACCAGCTTCAATCATTCAAATGTGTAGTCTTCAGTTGCTCTTTTATTTTGGCATGGGTCATGGCTGAGATGCACGCTGGACTGTTTTTAACATATTGCACACGCCTGCTCATTTTGTAGTAATGTGGCCCGCTGGTTACTCTTGGTGGACCTTAGAGTAAGATCTTAAAACAAAGGTCCTGTGCAGTCTTTGCATACATTACGATGTCCCTAGCCCTCCACCTGAGAAAATAAGCTTTCTCCAGGTTTCTTAACCCGATTTTTTTTTTCTCACTGTCATGTAGTGTGTTGTGTAGCAATTGGCTATTGTGCCCTCCACCCCAAAAGTAGGGGCATCCTGTGATGAAATATATATATGCAATATGTTAAAAACCATCCAGCATGCATCTCTGCCATGCCCCATGCCAAAATAAAAGAGCAACTGAAGACTACATGTATATAAAAGCATTCAAGTGCTTTGCCATCTGTATATGTATATGTATATGTATATGTATATACAGATGGCAAAGCACTTGAGTCCTTGAGGATACAGCGTTCCATATAACTGGAACTCAGATCATGTTGCCATCTATAAATATGAAAATCGGGTAGGGTTTTTAATATAGTTCTGGTAGAAGATCCAGTGCAAACCTCCCAATACTCCCTTCAGACTCATCACAAGTGTGCTTGGAGAAGCCTGGTCCATCCCTTCCCTCTCCTCAGAGTCTCACAAGGCTTTCAGTTCATGCCAACTGTGGTGGTGGCTTTTGTGGACCTGGATGGTTGGTGACCCACTGAGAGCTGGGCTGTGGCCACCACGCTGCCGTCAGATACAAACAGCTTTTAGTCCGTCCCCACCCCCAGTTTGGGCTGCATCTGAATCAGTGCACCCAGAGGTGGAAGTGTGACCTGCTTGGGTTTAATGAGGCACCAAAGGCTCTGCTAAGCTGCAAAGCAGCCCTTGGCACAAAACAGGTCTTTTTTATAGATCAGGGTTTTGTTTATACCAGGCAGTGATGTTTTTTCCATAGCCATCTGCTGGCGAATGTAATAGGCTCATCATTCAGGCTACAAGTTTTCAAACTCTTGTACTTTTGCTTCGTGGGATTTGGATCCCTTTGAAACTCTCAAATGAAACCACCCTTTTAATGAGAGCACGTCAATGCTATTCTCCATTAACTCACATTTGCAATGAATTTTGCTTGGCTGATTTGGATGGAGTACAAGCTATTTTGAGCTCCCAGCCGTTGTTTAACTTACAGGTGCCTTTTTCAACTTCTGTTTCCCATTAGATGGTGTCAGGCAGTCTGCTCGGACAGCTGCCATACATGTAAAGAAAGCGGGCTTGGGAAGGTCAGGCTTGCTGCGCTCGCGTAAGCTCAGACAATTGCTCTTTCAGTGCGGGGCTGGAGACGCTGTGGAAGCTGAGCAACCTGAACAGCAAATGTCCTCAGAGGAATCACCCTGTGATTCCAGATATGTGACTCCCAAGAGTGGCAGTGGGTTTCATGGGTCTGGCAGAGGCTGAGCTTTCCAAAGTTGGCCAAGGAACTTGGTTGCCTAGCCCCCATTAAAGTTGATGGGAATTGCATGTCTACCACCTTGAGGCAATGTTGGAAATCTCTGCTGCAGCTCTTTGTATTTTGGAGATGCCTAGGGAGGAAGATCAAGGGGTTCTCTGCTGTCCCACCTTTCTGAGGAGGTGTGAAGTACTCCCATATGGGCTTGACCTGGCTGAATCATGCAGCAATCGGCCCAGATCCTTAGCTGCTCTAAATGAGGATAAGCTCCATTGAAGTTACACCAGCTGAAGATTTGGCCCACAGTGTTTGGGCATGTCCTTTCCAGTTCTGAATGGTTCTTTGGTCCAACGGCGTCTCCTTAGACCCACCATTCACAGGTGCTTACACAGATAGGTGTTTTGTTGTCTTGGATGTCCATGGAGTAGTTGATCCTTGTGTGACAGCCCAGGTAAGGGGCCACACAAGGGCCCAGGTAAGGACAAGCATTACAGCAATAGAGATGAAGAGGAAAGCCTGAAGTTTGAATGCTGTCAGAAAGGAAGAAATGAGAGGATTTGATGAGGATCTGGATGGAGGAGAGAGGACTCAGTGAGGCCCAAGGTAGGGGGCTCTGGAAATGGAGACTACCCCAGGTGCGATCAGTGCTAAGGGTGTTGCTGGGTTTTGGAGGCAATTTTGATGTAGCAGGAGAGGATGGAGGAGAGGCATCAGGGTCAGAGAGGTCCATCCAAGTATCGGCAGCATTGGGGTAGGAACCAGGGGAGCTGAAACTGGTCATCTGGGGATCAAGATGACCTGGACTGAGGACGGGGAGCAGGATAGAGGATAAGGGAGTTGCCACAGGAGATGCTACTGGAGCAGCAAAAGTGAGCAGGGGAGTGAGGAGGGGTTCATGCAGCCCACTCCCATCCAACGGAGCTCATGTGTGGAAACCAAAATAGTTGTTATAGCTTCAGTTGTTTAAAATAATTGTGTTAGGCCATCCAGGGCCATGGATTTTCTAAATGCTTCTGGGCCATTCGCTCGCTGTCCCAGTTATTACTGGCCTGTCGGAGGAGGGGAGGCAGTCTCTAGACAGCAGGAGCTCCCTGTTTCAGAAGGGACAAGATATGGCCCATGGAGATTACCCTTTAAAATTGCAGCACGTGTGCCAAAAAAGGAGGATAATATTCCTAATTGATTCTAGCTGCCATTACCCTTTTCTCTGCAGCCCCTAAAGCAGGTCTTTAGGCATCTGCGGACCTTGTTGAGTGGTATTTTATGTCACCCTCCACTGAAGGTGGAGGATGATTTCTATCACAGCTCATGCAATCATGTCTGGGCCCTTATGACTCGATTAATTATGGACACCAGCACAGAAACAAGCTACTTAGCGATTCCTGCATCCCATTCAGTAAATCATGAGCTGGCAAGGGAGAGTTTCCATGGTGTTTTCTCTGGCTGCTCAAATTCCAGCTGGTTCCGAGAGAGAGCTCCATTTCTTAGAGAACGGCTCTGCAGGGAGCAGCAGAAATACATCCAGAATCTCTGGCAACGTTACAGAGAGACGCTTCCCTCGCATGTGTGCACGCGAGCTTTCCCCCCGCCAGCCCCCCGCCCTCCAGCTCTCCATTTCACAGTACAGGCAATCAGAGATTGTACAGGAATTAGGGGAAAGTATAATTTATTTAATGAGCATCATTAAAGAGAGGTTTCCGCTGGTTACAGATAAGGAATCAGTCCACGGGTCTCATCTGCAATCACTAGCTACTTGCACAGAATAAATGCAGTAAGGAAAACATAGCCTAGTGATTAGAGCAGGGAAGTGGAGGTCCAGACCTCTGGGTTCTGCTCCTGGCTCTGCCTGTGGCCTTGTGCAAATGAATTCATCATTTTTGGGTATGATCCTCCGCTGGGGGAAATTGCTGTGGCTTTGTTGACTATGATTTACCCCAGCTGAACACTTACTTGTCTGGTCTTCCATCGTCTTTCCGCGTAGGGAGTGCATTATTTACTTAGCTTATCTGAGTGTCGGTGGACTGATGAGGTTTGAGAAGTACTCTAGGGTCCGCTCGTAGACTTCTGCAAAGTATTCGTCATCAGAAAAGTTTCCCTGCTTCTCTCAAGCACCCACAATCATCTGAGCGTCCTGGGAATGATAAATGAATGGCATCATTCCTGGGGAAATATGTAACGGCCAAAAGGAGCATTGTAAGAGGGGCTTGCATGTGAGAGATGGGCTGTGTGGGTCTGAGTTGTTCTTTTTACTTATTTTCCCCCATCACCTGTGGTGAAGCTATAGCCCATCCAGAAAGCTGGCAGCTGTCCCTGGTACTGACAGGCACGAGGGAACGTAGCAAAGGGGCCCTATAAACAACTTAAGTATTATCATATAAATATTTGGACTTTTTCTTCTTTGGGAGCAAACCATCCAAGACCTATTTCAGCACAAAAGCAGAGCATTTAAGTAACCATCCAAATATATAGCAGGAATTACAGCTTTGAAGGCCAGAGTGTTAAACATTGTCTCTCGTTTTCTTCTTTTTGTTTTTATAGGAACGCATTTTCCTAACACTCTCCAACTACATCTTCACAGTAATCTTCCTGGCTGAGATGACAGTTAAGGTAAATGAAGCCAAAGAATAAGCCTGACTGTGCTACATTAGCAGAGTGTTATTACTTAGGAATTTGAAAACCCTTCCTCCCAGTTTTCCAGAGATCGGCACGTCCAAAATCTGACTTACCTTGGGGAATAAGATGTAAACAGTTGTCCCCTTTTTGAATTATATCTAACTCTCTACTATGCACCTTATTTTGAGTGCATTTTGCACCAGGATCATTCCACCGAAGCCCCCTCCCCCCCTGGTTTCCACTGCGGGGAGATGAGAGGCCTCCACTCATCTCTCCATCCGCTCTCAAGAATGATTTTTAAGTACGTGCTTCACTTCAGCTACATGCCTGAGTCCCACTGACCTCAATGATGTAAAGACTTGTATGGGCTTGTGCTGAGGATGAAGGAACTGAAGCATGTATTTAAATAGTTCTTTGAATGGGAGCCACATTCAGACTCCAAGGATGGCAAGAATGCATTGCTCTCTCATGTAGTTCATCTTACTTGGGAGCTACTGTGCTCTCATTTGGAAATATCCCCAGTTGTCTTTATTTGCAAACTTGACAGGCAGTGGTCACTAATGGTCAGCTGCTCTCGCCTTTCTCCCAGTAGCCTGAAGAAGTAACCATGTGATCAAACTTTTTGCACAACACCTCAGCAATATTAGAGTCACTTTTGCACAACTAGGTTTAGCTGCATTAAAAATACATCAGCTGTTAAGGGACAATCTGGGATGTTTTTGCAAGTTATTTTTACAATCCTTGCAGTATAACACTTAACAAAATTGTCTAATTAGGTTTCTATACTGGGTAGCAAATGGACTCGCAGTCATGGATCTGTAAATAATGCATTAGCTGTAGGCTGCCAACTGGAGGAAACATATTGGGTGTATTAGTCATAACTTTTTGCAATTTGCTCTCTGGGCAGGTGGTGGCACTAGGTTTGTGCTTTGGGGAGAAGGCTTACTTGAAAAGCAGCTGGAATGTGCTCGACGGGGTGCTCGTTCTCATCTCGGTCATTGACATCTTGGTTTCAATGGTATCAGACAGCGGCACTAAAATCCTCGGGATGCTGAGGGTCTTGAGACTCCTGCGAACACTCAGGCCATTAAGGTAAGTAGCAGGTGGGGGCTAAGTAAGATGGTAAAGGGGCTGCAAGCTTGGAGGTGCCGTCAGTGCCCCAAGTGTGCCACATCAAGGAAGAGAAATGTTTTCAGAAACGTAATGGAATAGACCAGCAAGAAAGGAAACAAAGAAATGGTCCAGCAGTCTCGCCCTCCAGCTCTGTGCAACCTGTCATCAGCTCTACATCAAACTCCCAGGCTGATTCTGCAAAGCCAGGGCCATCCACGGGTCCTGCTGGAGCCCAGGGGAGCTCCAGGCACTGAGTGCATTGTCAGGAGCAGGCCGCACCGTGGTAGCAAACTGATCAATGCCTCCTTTGCTCATTAAAACACACATCCCCTGCTATTTGTGCTCTCATTTGCTCTGTGCAAAGTGCTTCTTAACAGCTCCTTTTCCCTCTTCCTTCAGGCAATCAATGGCTTTTGCAACAAAGAGGAACATTAGTAGCAGGTGGCAGCTAATTTTTAAAGATTTGGAGACCAAACTGTTGCTTAACCTGCAATGTGATGATAATTTTTTTTTCTCTCCCAATCCCCCATTAATTCCACTCATATACTAATTATCAGAATTACCAGTCGAGATCAGAGCCATGGTCTCTCCAAACAAGGCTTTCCATTTCTTACAAAGGCCAGCGTAAGAGGCTTCGGGGATGGAGCAATAAACCCTATAATGGTCAACTGTGCGGCAGTCGACCCTAAACGATAGCTTTATCCTGACCTCGGACAGTTAGTGCTTGGCTTGTGCCCTGAAGCACAAGGGTTTATACTCTTAACATGTGCAATATCCTAGCTAAAGCAATCCCGGTTGTCCTTGTTGTGTAGTAACTCAGAACAGATCATTGTCGCAACCTCTTTGCAAGCGGGTTGTGTCTTATTTCTCCTTCCTTCTGCTGCTGGTTTGCTGTAAGGCAGAATGTCTCTTTGATAGGAAGAAAAATGGGGCCCTGCTTCTGGCTAGGATTGTGATCCCAGCCTGCAACATGAACAACAAGTATGATTATAAACGGTCATGACCTCTTCTAAAACATCTATTAAAACAGGCTTCATCTATATCGTGCGCAAAGCCCCTGTTGGGCATTAGGTTTTCAGATTTTGAGCAGTGCTAGTTGGCTTTGATTGGACAGGTAGGTCACCTGATAGGTGTCTGTTCCCTGATTGGATAGTCAGAAGGCCTAGACTCGGGTTTCCCAGGTGAATCTCTGTGATTAACAATTCAGACTTTGTTCTCTCCAAACGTCCCCCGGTGCTGCCGGGTAATTCTTTGTCTGGGAACAGTCCCGCCAGGATGTGTGTTTGCTAGCGTATTCGCAGAGGGCCAGTGGAAAGGGGACATAAATTCACATGAAACCAGATGCATTTACAGCCCAGGTTTGCAGCCTTGGGGCTTGCAGATTCCAGCAGGCAGAGGTCATAAAGAAGTGTCAGCACCTCATGATCACCCAGCCCTGCTTATATTGCTAAATGGGAAGGAGGGCGCAGGGAAGTCTCACAATATGGAAAAGGATATCTTGATATTGGAAAGATTAAGCTGTTAGCTTCGGGGTTAGAACATATGTTCAGAGGAAATTGAGTCTAATACCTACCCGGCTCTTTCCTTGCCTCTGTCATTTTCATATGTACAAAGAACACATACAAGGGAATTGAGATTTCCTTAGGTAAAATAATTATCCTTCTCATTTTAGTTTGAACTACTAGTTCCTCCCCCAGTCCCGGAGCATTTTATAAATAGCCAGGGAGAGTCTGTAGCTAAGGGTCAGTCTGACGAGCATCGGGGTCTCAATTAATTAGGTCCTTATTCTGCAAACTGTAAGGCAACTGCATGAGAGTGATCCCAGGGAAGTCGGTGGCACTCTCTGCATGAGACCCTGACAGCATCGGGGTCTCAATTAATTAGGTCCTTATTCTGCAAACTGTAAGGCAACTGCATGAGAGTGATCCCAGGGAAGTCGGTGGCACTCTCTGCATGAGACCCTGACAGCATCGGGGTCTCAATTAATTAGGTCCTTATTCTGCAAACTGTAAGGCAACTGCATGAGAGTGATCCCAGGGAAGTCGGTGGCACTCTCTGCATGAGGAAAAGCTACCAGCCTGCAAGGGCATCTGTGTCTTTCTCCTTGGCATGTGCTGCATTTCCTTGTCTGCATGCCCGGATGTTTGCGATGGACTTAACTGTGTGCAACTCTTGAGAGCACAAAGGAGACATGAACAAGCCAGCAATTAAGGCCTTCTCTAAATGTGTTTGCAATCAGGTCTGTCCCTCCCTAATTAGATTGGTAGGCAATAAAAAAGCTGCTGTTAAACCAGGGACTTTTCAGTCAGTCATAAATCTCTGGCCAGGGAAATCCATCTGCACTTACGGTGATGCATGTATGGACACAACTGTCCATGCCCACCCCTGCCTATTTGTTTTCTCATGTGGGAGCACAGTCGGTTTTGCATTTTGTAGCCCCACCATTCACATTGGTCCTGTGTTTACAGCAGGAGTGAGCAAAATGTGGCCCGCAGGCTGGATGCAGCCCTCCAGGCCATCCTATCTGGCCTGTGGGGCCCCTAAAATATTTAGAAAATTAATATTTATCTGCCCCTGCCTGCCTGTCATACAGCCCTTGATGGCTTGCCAAAACTCAGTAAGTGGCCCTCCTCCCAAAATAATTGCCCGCCCCTGCTTTACCAGTACAACTGGGCGTATGACTTGGGCTCGTCTTTTTCTGAATGGCTCAGTAGCTCTTATTGATTAGGGAATTAGCCTCAACTGAAACGGGACTGGCAGACACTCCAGAATAGATAAATGCAAGTAATGTATTAAGCCATGAACACTTGGCTCAGGACTTAAATAATGTCTATGATCTCTGCCCTTGGCGGGGAATTTCTACCCTAGGTTTCGGTGCCTGCTCTTCAAATATGACTGTATGATAGGGATTCAAGCTAATGCTAGGTGCCTGTCACTGAGCTGCCGACTGCTGCCATTTGGACTGGACTGTAGGTGTTTGGGGCAGGACTCCAAGAACGATTATGGGAGAAGCAACAGGAGGAAAACGCCTGTGAGAAGCCCTGGCTGTACACCTGTCTTTTGAAGACTGTTAAGACTTTGTATAGGAAGGCTTTTTGTTATGTTTGCTTTGGCTTATGGCAGTTTGCTGCTTATAAAGGCTTTGCTGATTCTTTTTCTGTAGAAATGCCCCACTTCCTTTCATAGCTCCCTCAGCTTTTTTGAGAAAACCACAAAGCAACTATTTTCTTGTGCATCTGACCAGGGCTGTTTGCTGCGTGCATCAGTGTATTGGCACGTGCCCGTGTCTGATCTGCACATGTGGAATAGTGTGGTCGCAATTCCATGTGTCCGTGATTGATTATTAGGCCCCAAACTGAGTGCAGAAGTATTTGAGTCTTGCTCCATGCTCAGCATACTGCAAATGTCTTCACAAAGAAGTGACAAAGACATTTCCATGCCCCTCTCTGATGTTCCAGCCATTCGGAGAATAGCTTATTCGATGCCATTCCTTCCTAATGCATTCAACCTGCTGGTGTTGGGATCAAGCGCTACAGCTTAAGGTACAAGAGAAATCAAAATTAAAAATGTGTTCAGAATTAATTTGGACAGACTTCAACACTCTTTTACTTTTCGTCAGAGCTTTGGCTTCGGCTTCCAAAGCAGATGGATAAATTATTCACTCTTCATACCGTCGCAGTATGAAATAGTCATCCCATAGACACTTTCCTCTTTATCATATTATCACCTTTTGCTATTTTTTTTTCCTACCCATGGAGGAAAGTCTGCATTCACATTGAATTGTCACTTCTTTATACCAGTGCTCTGATCAGACTAGCAAGCTTAAAGTTAGTAAATGTGTTCCAGCAGAGATGAGATTGACAGCGGTTTTGGAGTGTCTGCACACTTGGAGTTTCAAAGCACTGTGACTGCTGAGGCCAGCAGAAGCCGGAGGAACTCGGGGGATTAGCATTTTTTCATGTTGAAAAAAACTTTTATAACTTCAATTTCCCCATTTGTCATATGCATAATGTAGACTGAAACTGTCTTTAACGCAGCCTCGGGAGGCTACCACACCGGAACCAGCTGGATCGCTCTGCCCTACAGTTGCAGAGCAGTGGGTCAGATAATGTGGGCTTGCAGGCAGTACTATCAGCAGGATCTCGGGCAATATTGATGGGCTGCTGGGGCGGTTAATGTTGACACATTGAAGCTGACAGTAAGAGCTCAGAAACGCTGAGGCTGCTTTAGTTTGTTCTTCATTTTAGGGCCTTATCTCGCTCTCTTTGAAGTCAGCGGGAGTCCTCCTGTTGACTGGAAAGCTGTCAACTCAAACTGGATTGGTCAGGTGAAGCTAGGAGGACAGTGAAGTTTTTCATTATTGAGGATTACATTTTTTTCCCCCTGTTGAAAATCTTCAGAGTCTTTTCTGTCAGCCTAGAAATAAACATTAGGGAAGGTGCTGTGCAGGCTGCCTTCTCTTACCCCTGGATTAAGTTTTTTGACCAGTTGTCTGATGGAGCAGAGATGTGCAAGAATCCAAGTGCCCAAAATTTTTTTAACCCATCTTTCCCAACAAGTGCCCTTTGCCACTTAGGTCAGATTTGCCAAAATAAGACCCTGGAGGCTGGCTTTTCGTTTTGTGACTTCCCTCTGAGACCTTGGACTTGTCCCTTTGTCCTTGTAGGTCTCAGGTTCCCTTCTGTCATACAGGATTACTGGAGCTATTGTGAGGACAAGTATGCTAGTATTCATAAAGTGCTCAGGTTGTATTAGTCTGTGGGAGAAAGAAAGTTGAACCAAGTGCATCAGCATGAACCTTCCTAGTAATGTGCCTAAACCCTGCCCGGGACGGGTTTTATCCTCTGTGACCCATGCAGGGCTTGACTTCTCTGCTGAGACTTTCAGCTTAGGTGCCAGGTAAGACAATGTTTGTGGTATGGCCCCTTGCCCACTAGAAATGAGACTGAGTTTCACAGGCAACCTGAGTTGTCCTTGGAAAGAAATGATTGTTTTGTCTCCACTAGCCTGGCTTGATTGGACTGTGAAGTGTGTCTGCATGCAATGACTGCAGCATAGCATAGACCAAGCCAAGTTGCCTTTTCAAGTCACTAGCTCAGATACAGGTGACAGTCTAGCCGGCATAATGTGGAGCATCTTGTAGGTTAATTTATCTCGGGCAGTTTTGCAGCCCTCTCTGAGCTCCAGGCAGGCACAGCTACGCTGCTACCAGCGCAGCTTGTTCACAGCTAGCTTGGGTGGTTCCACAGTACCCTGCAGCCACGACAGCGATGGCAGAGCAGAAATCCACTGAGCCTTGCAAGCGAAAGGTGCTATAAGTCTTTGCCATTTCCTGAGCCTTCCCCTCTTATGCAAGGAGATCTGAACAGACAGGAAGTCAGACAATCCAGTAAGTAACCGGAACAGCTACCTGAGAAAGAGAGCCAGGTTGGGAAACAGAAGCATCTGCCTTTTGTGCGTTGTTGGTAGAGGAACGGATAAAAATATCACCATCTGTTTCGTTTTTAAAAGGGTAATTGACAAGCTACCCTTGACATTTCGAGTAAATATTTAACCAGAAAGAGGGAAATATTTTTTAAGTTTTTCAGGCTACAGTATCAAACCAACCCGTTCCGAAAGGAAATGAAGCCATCATTTTATGCACGTGCACTGAGCGCTGCAGTTTGCTCACTCTGTAGGCACGAAGGCACTCGAGGGACTCTCCGAACTTTCGGAGAGCGCAGCATCTGGGCTGTTATGCACAGCGTTGAAGCCGAACGGCACTGTCATGTGTACCCTGCTGGGGGGGAGGGCATAGTCGGGCAGAGAGGGAGGTTAGCGGGCATTTTTGCATCACTTGGTGTACGCACACTTTGCAGGATCCATGTCAGCTGCTTGGCTCTAAGGACCCAATTTACAAAGTGAATCAGATGTCTAGCACCCATTGATTTCAATGGGAATTAAGCACCTAACCTGTTAGGGTGCTACCTTATATTCCTCTAGGCATCTTTAGGTGCTGAATACTGTGGTCAGTCTGACCCCAAATGACTCAGTGGTTTTTATAATGTGCACAACAGTCCTTGAACTAAGGTCCTCGATGAAGTGGCACAAATCTATCCTCAACTGTGTCTTTCCTGCCTGTTTCTGTCTGGCTATTGATTGCTTGTGCATTCACCACCACCCCTCCACCTCTTCTTCCGCCAGCCCCCACCCTACAGAATAATCTAATCTACAGTTATGAAATCCTGTGCAGTGCTAGAGAGATTCTCTCATTATGAAGCTAATTGATTATTGCCTGGCTGGTGAAACCCTGGGCTAGACAACAGGAATGACTGAATATGCGCTGTCACAGAATAGGGTGGAATGGGTATAAAACAACAGAGGTAGGAAGCGGAGCAGCTTGGGAGTCCATGCTGGGACCAGTCCTGTTCAGACCTAGCCACGGGTCACAGCCCTTCAAGATGACACAGGCATTCGTCAGTCCTGCCAGCACCCCTGTGCACTAGGCAATTATAAGGGTTGCTATCCTCATTTCACAGGTGGAGACACAAAGGTAGGGAGATCGTGTCTTGTTGAGGCCAGGATTAAAGCTCAGAAAAATCTGGCACCTAACCTGATACTCGTGTCCCCCGGTTCGTACGGCATACAGAAGTACATGCATTCATGGATGGCCTAAAACTAAAGCTGGCTTAAAAGAGAGGTGGGATGTGGACTGGAGCTGAGGTGACTTGTTTAATTACGGACCAGTGGTTTTCCACCTTTTTTCATTTGTGGACCCCCTTGGAAACAACAAGTGGAGGTGCGGACCCCTTTGAATTTAAGTGTGGGTATTTACATGAAAAACTGTGCTTCTGATTCATCATAATCATCTTTTGTGGACCTCTGAGAAACAGTCGGCGGGCCACAGGTTGAAAACTATGGTTATGGTTATAGATAAATAGAAGGCGGTAAAGCTTGAGGGACTGGCTGGAAATTATATCTAAACTGCCTATGTGCTAAATAGAAGATGGAGATTAGGAAATGGATCAGGCAGTGACAGCAGGTTAGATTAAAACAATCATTTCCTCTTCTGGCATCAGTGAAGAGGCCAGCGGGACCACAGCTGATGTCTGGGATTGGAATCTGGTGCCAAATCTGTTTGCAAGAAAATGCAAGAACTGAGAGGTTTGCAAAATGGTCAGGTAGGAAACAAAAGACTTGCTCAGGCAGGGTGGAGGGGAAGGTGCTATACAGGCAGAAGTTACTAAAATTAGATCTGCCTTCCTTCTGGTGATTCACAAGGGCAGGTTTGGTGTATGTAATTCGGTGCTAGAAAGAAGCATGGGGGGGCACCTCTTGATTTTCCTTTCTGTGGCTCTGACCCAAAGCCCACTGTAGTTCCTGGGAGCCTTTACATGGATTTAAGCAGGTTTGGAACTGGCTGTAAGTACATGACTAGCTTCTGCTCTCTCCATATACAAGCTCCTCCAGCCTCTCTGAGAGGTCTCCTCTTCCATAGCTACTTGTACTTCCTGGGTTTGGGCCACTCATCATTTGAAACAGCTGTTCTTCTTGTGCTTTTATTTCTGTGCCTTGTGTCACATGGAAGGTGTCAGGTGAGCTTTACAAAGATGGGGTTAACTGGCTTCTCTATCTGTTTGCCCCCCCAAAGGGTCATTAGTCGTGCGCAAGGACTGAAGCTCGTGGTGGAAACTCTGATGTCGTCCCTTAAACCCATTGGGAACATTGTGGTCATCTGCTGTGCCTTCTTCATCATCTTTGGGATCTTAGGAGTCCAGGTGGGTTTCCTACAGGGCTCTGGGCTGCTCATGAAAAGCCAGAAACAGTGGCAAACTCCCCCAAAACAATGAATACCTTGGTATCTGCACCAAAGTGCATTGGAGGAGTTTCCAGGGGCCAACTAAATGGGAGATGTCACGGAGGTCATTTCTCCATCCTGTGACTGAAATGTCTTGAAAAGTGCAGATCTCGCATCATTGCAGCCTTGTCCATGGTGAAATATTGTTGCAGCCCTGTCCAACCCATGGTGAAAAATGCTCGAGTCCCAAACACCAAGCTCCACACACGTGCACCTCTCGTTCTACCTGGAGTAGGAGTGAGTATGGAGGGGCTCTGCCTCTTCCCGGATCCGTCCAAGTTCCTCTCTGCCTCTGAAGATGCACATCCCTCTTTTGAATCCATAACTTCCATAGTTTCCAATCTGCTATTTATCTGATTTGTGAGGATGACAGGGACCCAAAGGCTGGTATAACTGTGCGTCCAACATACAAGCAGCAGGGCAAAATTTTTCCATGGCTTTGTGAATGACCCCAGTGCTGGCCGGTACATTAATCTAGGCATGGCCATGCTTCCTCCCCTAGGAACCACCTACCAAAACCTTCACCGAGTCAGGATCTGACCAGTGACACCCCCATACTTCTCGTTTTATAATAATAGCTCGCTAATCAGCTGAAAGGAAGAAATCCCATTTGTTGAATATTTCAGCATAAACACCACCTTTATTTGATTTGTCCAAGCCAGTTTAGAAACTGGCTCATAGTAGGACATAACAGTTTTATATGCCTGTGTTATTTAAATAATTTTAAAAATGTAGTATTTGAAATAGAGGAAATATCATCCCCACCATAACCGTTTCAGGAGTGAGATTGGCTTAGCCTTATAGCATAACAGCATCTATCTATTACACTAAACTGGACCATAAAAGTAAGCATATCCCATAAAACAAAATAAAATCAGAATTTATGATGACAACACTTGCACTGAGCTCTTTGAATTTCCTTTCTGTTAATTGTGATCATTTTTCCCCAGTGGCTCTGCCAGTCTCACAGTAAGTTGTCACAATTATTGACACATTTCCAGCACTAGACAGAAGCATTAGGACTGATCCTGCAGGGGACTGAAATCCCACTGACGTCCACGCGAGGTCTGTGTACCAAAGATCTGCAAGATTAAAGCCATAATTTATGGAAAAGGAACCAACCTGTGGATTACTCTGCATTATCACGGTGGGGGGGGTTTCCACGTAAATAGAAAATGGAGAACAAAACTGTGGTTCTGAGCTTATGTTATTAGGGCCCAGTCTTCTATTATACAATGGTGGCTTTCTTAAAAAAGACTGTTTATTTAATGCAGTACTCTGCTGCCTAGAGACACCAGCTGAGAATGGGACTTCACTGCACTAGACACTGTTCATATGCATAATAATACACAGGCCCTGCTCCAACAGCTTATAGCTGACATAGATGAGACCAAACAAAGCCTGGGAGGAGAAACAGAAACACTGAGAACTGAAGTGATTCGTCTAAGATCACACAGGAGCTACTTACAAGAACCTGGAATCAAACCCAGATCTCCTGAACCCTATTGCTACGTGCTTCCCACTGGGCAACAGCACTGTTGTAATTATATGATTGTACATTATGACAAGGTGTATGGTAGCATGCGGGTGGTCACTTATTTACCACGGGTAGGAACGGGAGAATTGCTAAAACCTGGCACCTTTGATTTGCACAAGTGCTGAGAATTTGCAACTCTAATTGAACTTAGTGGGAACTGCCAGTGCTCAGCAGTTTTGCAAATTGGGCCCTTTCAGTTTTGAATCCAGTTTGTAGCTGTGTAACTGTGCCCATCTGAATAGTATTATGACCCTGCTTATGAAGATACTATATTCATGGGCAATATATTAAAAGCACTGTTCACCTTCCTACTTAATTTAGAAAATCTATCTCTATAGAAGGCAGACCGTGGGAATACTTAGCCTTCCCAGATATAAACATTTTGTGCTTATAGGAGAGGCTTATTAGCTCTGAGAAGCAGCATCTCTGTCCTTCTAGCGACAAGCATGCTGCTGCTGCTTTTGCTGTTCCTCCATGGCAGGACTAGAACCACGGAGCATAAAGGGTTAGTGTCTCTCTTCAGCTATCCAGACAGTGTTTAAGGAGCCTGGAGAGAAGGGTGCCCTGCCACAAGAAAGCAGTGAGAGTTAATGTCAATAGTTTCTGTCACTCAGTAGAGCAGACTTTCCTTTATGTCTCACAGCCTCCAATGCCAGCCATTCGACTACCATCAATCACCAAGTCCCAAGCAGTAATCATGCACTGCTGGGTTTTGTTCTGCTGTGCACAAAGTGACACGTCTAGAATTAAGCACTTGGGGGCCTGATGCTTCCCTCACCAGTGTAAATTGGGAGTAATTGCTTGGGAGCCCATGGCTTTTTGCCAGAAGAAGCGGGATCAGGATCAAGCACCCAGGAACAATGGGATCCGATTCTTTAGCTCTGCAAAAGGGACTATTAGCAGAGGCTCCTCTACAGATTGCACATCCAGCGCTGTCTAATGATTGATGGAGAGCAGCACACAACCACCAAAAGCTGCTGGATTGACAGTCCCGAAGGCAAAAGTCTCACTGATCCACCAAACAGGTCCATCAACAGCAGCAGGGAAGTAGCCCTCCACCATTTCCTACTCTGACCTGTGAGAACAAGAGCCAGACATCATCTCTTGTGGCAGACGGCACTAGCTGAAGGACGCCATGCTCCTTTCTCATCAACTACTAGACAGCCATGGCATGGTATTAGCTGTTAGCCAGGGCAGCTGGATTGGGACCAGTGACCTAGAAGGAAAAGGCTCTGGATCTCAGTGCACCGACCCACACAACTGCTCAGGGAAGCCTCTACGTTAGGTACCGTAACTTCAATTAGACCAGGAGTTCAAGCTTCTTCTCCTTCAGTACTTTTGAACTACATTGTCAAAGTGGTTGTGCACGTTTCTTGCCTCAGGTGCCCCAAGATCACAAGGCTTTTGCCTTTTTTTCTTGGTCTGATCCATGTGGGCTGTGCAGAGTGTCCCAAGAGAAATGTCTGTTCCCCAAGGGCGTTGTGGGGCCTCCTGTTTCCTCTTATTCTTTGTTTGTTTTGCAGCTTTTCAAAGGGAAGTTTTTTGTCTGCCAGGGGGAGGATACCAGAAACATTACAAACAAATCGGACTGCGCAGAAGCCAGCTACAAATGGGTCCGGCACAAGTATAATTTTGATAATCTCGGCCAGGTATTAATGGAATGGTAATCTGCTTCTTTGCTCCTTTGCCTCCTTGATTTAAAAACCTATGTATAATTTCCCATAGGATTTTCTTGCAGGGAATTTAACAGCCACTATAAATATCCAGTTCACACAAACACATCCTGCATTTGTAAATCCCAGTTGCCGTGTGCATACAGTTTCTTTTGGAATCAAACAAGCGTGTGCGGCTTCATGGAGCATTTAATTGCTTCACTGCTACATAACGAACTCAATGTATCCAGCGTAGCACTTGTCTAATGTGGCTGGACGCTCTGTACTCAGTGCAACCTAACATCTCATCCATTTGCAACAGCCACTGGAACACATCCTTAATTTAGCAGCATGGTAGGGACTAATTAGTAGTGAGCAGTGGAAACCCAGGGGGGTGAATGAAGCTGCCTTTGTGCCTGGCTTTGTGGTTTTCAAATTAGCCCTTGTTCCTAGACCAGGATTTGACATTCGTAGTTTTTGCTGCCAGGAAACCTTGAACATCAAAGTTTCCTGGTTTTGGCAAGGTGATGCGACTCCTAAAATAGGGAAGGAGAAAGAAAATGTTACAGGTAAAGAGAGAGTATCTGCTCTGCATTTTTCCCGCTGCACCTAACTTTTCTCCTTGCATTTCTAGGCCCTGATGTCTCTGTTTGTTCTGGCCTCCAAAGACGGGTGGGTGGACATCATGTATGATGGCCTAGATGCTGTTGGAGTTGACCAACAGGTATATTTTCTCTGTTAACTGCTGTTTAAAAATAAATTCCTGAAGAGGCCACTGGATGGCCTTTGTTTTCCCAAGTTGGTAGTCTTTGAAAGCCATGACCAAAGTGCAGTTTGGGTCTAGATTTCATTTTTACCATAATTTTTATCAGAGAGAATGCATGGCAAGGAGTGAAATAAATTCAAGCCCATCTACTAACCATACTTCAGGGCGAAACTCTGCCATGAAAGAAATGTAAATAGGTTTTGGCACCCACAGGCTGTGCTTGCAGTCATGTTCTCCATAGCTATAACACAGGGAGCAATACCAAACTGATTGGTGTGGGGGGGTTGCGAGCCGAGACGCTTCTTGAGCACCTCAAGAGAAAAGCACTGCTTTGGATATGTGCAGGGTAGTATGATTACCAAGTTGAGACAGTTGTATAGGATGCAGCTGGCCTGTTTCTTGGTCAGTTTATGTGATGCCAGTATGCCAGTGACTAGTTATTTTTTGGGTGCCCAGTTTGAACTTTGTGAAGGAAGGGCTCTGATAGTCAGGCAGTCCCTTTTGGGCCTGTAAAGCATCTTATTTTCTACCCACTTTGAAAAAGCAGGCCTTACTGCTCCAACTACCAGCTCTGGTTTATCTATCCTCTGCTCATCGTGATTCCATGGGCATTTCTCTCTCTCTCTCCCTCTCCCCTTCTCTCCCTCTTTCTCCCCCTCACTCAATCCTGTAGCCGGTCATGAACTATAACCCTTGGATGCTCCTCTACTTCATCTCCTTCCTGCTGATTGTGGCTTTCTTCGTCCTCAATATGTTCGTGGGCGTCGTGGTGGAGAACTTTCACAAGTGTCGGCAGCATCAGGAGGAGGAAGAAGCCAAGAGACGCGAGGAAAAGAGGCTTCGCCGGCTGGAGAAAAAGAGAAGGAGTAAGGAGAAACAGATGGCTGGTCGGTAGTCTTTCCACATCTTTCTGAGTCCTGCTTGACCTTTGACTCAGTTCCCTACCTCCCTGCCTAGCATCCGATGATCATTCTCCCCCCAAAAGCATGTCCAGCTACAAAATCTGCATGAAGGAAATAGTGCCATTGTAGGCTGAGCAAGGAGCCCTGGAAACTTTTTTTTTAGTGGCTGCATGATTTGCAACAACCTTTCTGCAGGAGGTTATTTAAGAAATAAAGCAGATCCATAGCTTCTTCGATAGCAGAAGCTTAGTACTACACAAATAGTGACAGCTGCAAAGATCAACAGTGCCAGACCGTGCCATCAATCTTCCATGTCTCGAGCACTGTTGCTGATAACTGGATTCACTATTTGGTTTATTACAGCCTTGTAATGCCAGAGCGACATTACCTGTCCCATTTATCAAGTAGGTTTATTTATTGGCAAAGTAGCGCCAGTGCTATTCAAGGATGTAATAAAGTAACGGAGCTGTCCCATTCTAGAAACGCTTAAAAAAAACACCCTTATAGGTACATAGTATTGCACTTGCTTGAGAAATACAGATTAAAAAAACAAAACAAAACCCCCAAAGTTCAAGAAGATAAATTAACCAGACAAAACATCATTGATGTGAATTGAATCAAATAACAGAGCTTGACGTAGAAACTTGCAGCCCTCTTAAAACATTTTAAGCCCTAGTTTTGCTATATTGATGAGAGCAAATGAGGCCTATGCACTCTGTCACAAATCTCAAAAGACTGATCTTTTTCTTTTTACTTGAGTTTTTGTTCGGTTAAAAAAGCAGGTAAAGCCATTCAGGTCAGAGGTCACAGGTCAGAGGTACTCTTCTCCATCTTGCATGCTTTCTATTCTGGTTGAACCTTGTCAAATACCTGTGTTCTTCATGGTCTCGCTCCTGTTACCCTCGTCATTCAGTCTCCTTGCTGCTAGTCTCCATTTCTCTTTTCACATTTCTTCTCTATCTTGGGCAGACATCGGTACTGTTGAAGCGTCTGTCTCTGGGCGTTTGTTCTGAAAGCCAGTAATATTAAGTGTTTGCTTTTCTTTCTTTTAACGGTCTGAATGGTTTATAAACGGTGTGATGAGGTTAAGTATATGACCGCAGCACAAATGTACAACTGACTGAAGCCTCCAATCAGAAAGCACTTGAGCATGCAGATCCATCCCTTTTCAGTCCAGCACTTTAGCACATTAAAGCATATACTTGATCCCCCTGAAATCAGTAGGACTTGACACACGATGTGCACTCGTGTTTTCCCGTGCGCGCTGCCTTCCCAAAGTAAGCCCAAGACCCCAGGCTTACAGTCAGAGCTGCCTGGGTACAATCCCATTCCCGTATCTGCATTGATTTCACTGCAGGAGCTGGGCCTAGGGAGGGAATATTGTGGGCGCAGTATGGCATCCGTAATTCCTACTCAAACCATTGGGTCTACCCAAGAAGAGACATTGCCTCAAATCCTTCCTAAGTCTTACAAGATTGTCAGTACTGTGGAGTTGCCCTCATGGTGGAGACCTGTTTAATAAAACCCATATTGGTGGACCTTACTGCTGAGCCTCAAATAAATGGGGTACAGCTGCTGCGGTGGAGGCTAATTTTCCTCCAAATAATTTGCCTAGAAAGCAGCTTAGGTTACTTCGAGTTCCCAAACACAGTTGCTGACTGAGTTCAGATTCTTTGGAAAATGCAGTTACATATTGCATGCAAATGTCCCTGATTAAAAATGGTCTTGGAAAGCATATGTTTTAAAATTTCCTTAGGCCAAAAGGAAGGTTGAGATCATTAATAATCTTATTTATAATACTAAAAGAAACCAAATGGGTGGAAGACATGAGGACGGGCAGTTTCCTGGTGGGAGAGAATCCCAAGATATCATTAGACATGTGGCTCTTTGCGTTCAGCTCTGTCAAGTGTTAATTAAAGAAGCAATAAACCAGGGAGGAACAGATATTGCTGAAGACCAAACACTCGGCGAGGCTTTGTTGAAGAAGGACACGAGCCCCTCCCAAGCGTTTTGGAACAGAGATTTTTCTCAATTCCCGCTCAGAAAAAATGTTGTTTTTGATTGGCTTTTGCACTCAATGACAAATAGCCGTCATTGCCTTGCATTTAATTATGTGATTGTAACCAGCACACCATTTCCAGATTAAGGCCTCAAGTCTGCTGTTCCCTGCAGGAGGGAAATTCTGTAGCAGCCAGTCACTAAGTGCCAAATTTGATTTATGATTTTTTTTTTCCTAGGCAGCCATGGGTGCTTAACTGACCACGTGACCATTTTTAATCAGAGCCTATTTACATATTAGTACCTGCACTTCATCTCAAAGCCATGGGGGCCTAACAACACAGTGATTACAAGGCAAATACGGCATCCATCTGAGCAACATGGACAGCGCGCTGCCTCTGCCCCAGTGAAATCCCTTCCCATGTAGACGGCTCACTCAAACCCTGTTTTGGGGGCCAAGAGGTGCACAGGCCTTGTGCTAGGGTGAATTTCACCCATGGAAAACTCCTGTCATTTAAATCAATGCAATCTTACTGATTCCCACTGGGGTTGCACTGGTATAAACTGGAAGAGGTTCTGGCCCTCCATTTAATCCTACTGGTTTGGAATGGGTGGGGATCGAATACCCGATTCTAGCCCCCGGAAGGATAGCCAGGTGCATATGTTGCAAGGTGTGCCCGCGCCAGAACCGGTGCCGAGCTGACTAGTGGAATAGAGAAATGTAGAAACTGCTGAAGGGGAATGAAAATCTTGTTGCGTGTCCTGCTGGATGATTAATATCATTTCATTCTTTTAGATCTAATGCTGGATGATGTAATAATGGAGAGCTCAGCCAGTGCAGTGCAAGGTACTGGGAAGTCTTAACGTCGCGTCTCACTTGAATGGCGGTGCTGTGTAACTAACGGCTGGCCAATGCTTCTGTGAGGCATCCCACTAAACTGTGTGTGGTGCAAGTCTCGTTTGCTCACTTCATGGCACACGTATATCTTTTGAGCTGGCAGGTCTCCTGGCCTGACTCGGGACCAACACTTGCAAATCCTTAATTTGCACCTTCATCATATTTTTTTTCCCCCCCTCTATTTTTTCTCATTTTTCTGATTTTCATTAAAACACTGTCAACCTTTCTTTTTTCCCTTCTTTGTTTGTTTTTGTTTTCTTTTTTTTAAATTTTGGAGAATAATGACTGGATTTTGAATAGGGTCCATGCTAACTTCCTGACCAGAAACTTTGGGAGCTCCTGGGGCTTCTGCAGCAGTGCCTCTGCAAGTCGCACGTTTTGGCAAGAGTAGGTTATTTCTGCAGTCTCAGCTTTATGGCATCTAGCTTAAAGAAGCCAGAGCAGTTAAATCAGGATGAGATTCCCATGCAAAGTAGTAGCGCAAAGCTTTAGGAGAGGGGTGGGCAAAATGCAGCCGGCGGGCCAGATGCGGCCCACCAGCCCATTCTATCCGGCCTGCGGGGTCCCTAAAAAATTTAGAAAATTAATATGCATCTGCCCCTGGCTGCCTGTCATGCAGCCCTTGATGGCTTGTCAAAACTCAGTAAGCGGCCCTCCACTTGAAATAATTGCCTGCCCCTGCTTTAGGGGGAACTTAGGGTCCATGTGGTTAGCTCACAAGAACCCTCTAATGCCCAGCTCCACCAGGGCCAGCTAGATAAGATGAAGGGATTATTACCATCATGCTCAGAGCTTCCTGTGGAGGGTACAAGGTTTTTCAGACTGGCTGAATGCTCTGTGTGAACACCAGTGGTCCCTTGAGAAGGTAGGCATATTCCCTGAAGGGGCTCCCAAACCTTCCCCTCTATCCAGCACAGCACAGCTTTAGGAGTAGCTTATGCAGAGGTCACTTACTCAACCTGACACTATGTACATCGGCACCTCCCGTTAAATGGCCTCATAGATGGCCCTCAGATTGGTCTGAGCATGCTTTGGCAAGGAGGGCTTGACATCCCTGTCAATAAGCCAGTAAGAGCAAGTGCCGCCAGGTTCTCATTTCTATGCAGACTAGATACGAGGCCCTAGGGAATCAGGGGAAGGTTGTCCATTGACTCCATTGGGAGCAGAGACCCCGATGTTAAGGTAGCCCCTTTTCCCCACTATGGCTAGTCATTTTTTTTTCAAATGTTGTTGAAATCTATTGCCAAAAGTTCACATTTCAATGAAAAAAAAATTTTTTTAACTGTTTTCCTGATTTCTAGTTAGCTCTGTTCACCTTCGCAGCCTTGTCTTTAGTAGAATTTTTACGTTTCTCTTGAACGGTTGACACCTCCTAATACATCAGACTGCTCTTTTCAATCCAGTGAAACAAAAAAAATGCACCTTCCCCAGGAAAGAAAAGGCAAGCTTCTGCTCCTATAGCTGAGTTCCTAGTTGCACCCGAACCTGTCTGCTTATTCACGTCCCCTCTCTCCCCCACCTCCCCCCACCCCGGTCCATTCATCCATTCACTCATTCATTCACCAGAATGGTGCTTTCAGGCTGCAAGTCTTTTCCTTCTCTATTTGTTTCATTTGCAGAATAAGTTTTGATCCGGCAAGTTATTTTGCTTGAGTCATACTGTAAGGAAGACTTTTAGCCTAAGTCAAGATTTGTTAAGGATGAAATAACTGTATTGATAGTTTCAGTGGAAAAGGTGCATTTGCATAACTGTGCCCATAACTTTCCTCACCACTTGAAATGGTAAGTCCTCATCCCGCTGCACTCAGTCAGACAAACTTCCCTTGGGAAGTGAGAGGGAGTGTTGCTGGAGTACAGTCTGCAAGAGGAAGCCCACTGGCCTTTCATTCATTGCAGAGAAACAGTTCAGGCACTTAGGTAAGCAGAGGTTTTGAGAAAGTCCCGGCTGAGAGAGAGCCCCAACATGCTTTACTGAATCCTGAATCTCCTTAGCCTGGCTGTTTTTTGTAGTTTTATTTCCTTGCATCCATCCTCCCAGTTATCGTTAGCAGACCCATCCTCCACGCCTCAATTGGATACCACGGCCTGAGGGAGGAATAAGGGAGTCGAGTCCTTTGGTGACCTTTTCTTTTGGTTTTATTTTTGGTTTTAAGCATCTTCACTGCATCCGACTCCTTTTCTGGTCACCCACAGCTATATCTAAGACATTTTTATTTGGTTTTTTTAATACGCTGATCTCATTCCAAAACCAGCCATTATCCAATGCAGACTCAGAAAGAGCCATACAGTTTGCCTTTAAAAGTGTGTGATTGTCAGACCTGTGCTTTGTGTTTCCTTTTGTTGTCTTTTATTTGGAACCAGCATTATTGAATATGCCATGCTGCTCTTCAGTCATCAGAATGAAAGGATAGAAAGATGCCTTTCAGAGCCTAACCAGGTGTGATGCTAGGGAATCAATATTGATGCAAACCTGCGGGAGCTTGATGAGAAATCTGAATTTGAGAACCAAGACCTTCCATGTGTCTTTGCATTTTACAAAGGGCTTCCTGTACTTTTATGTGAAGTTGAGATGGAGTAGTGTGTGCCTGTGCACTGTTTCTCAGTGTTGAGTTGAGATTTATTTTGCACCTCCGTCCGATCACAGCTGACACTTCTCAGTGGGAATAACGTATCGCTTTCCATTTTGCTTGAAAAGTGCCATCCAGTGCCCTAAAAGGAGAACAAAGCAATGTGTTTAAATGTGGACGTTCCTTCAGTGCAAAATATTTTTAACCGAGTAACAGTCTTCATACAGTTTGTAAATCCAGCTGCTGATTTGGCTCAAAGCTCTTTTTTTTTCCAGGTGTCCAGGCCCCAACCTATACTCCTCTGTCCCTAAGAAATGCATCCTCCTGCCATAGAACAGGGGTCCCGCTGGAATTCTTGCCTCTCTTTGAATTCCACCTACCGCTGACTGTGTCGCCCAGTGCAGTTCTGCTCCGAAAAGTGACTATGGAAAAATGGCAGCGTTTGGATGAATGCTTTCTCCCTCAAGTGTCCGAATACATTTTGTAGCCACAGAGCAATGCAGTTAGTAGTCAGGGGCTTTGATGGTATTCTGGCTGCCGTACCACAAACAGAATCCCTTGCTAAATTCTAACCGTGCCATTTTCGTGGCTGGGGGGGAGAGCGGGGCGGGGGCCG